TGTGTGTGTGTGTGTGTGTGTGTGTGTGTCTCTTAGTGTGTGTGTGTGTCTGTGTGTGTCTCTTAGTGTGTGTGTCTGTGTGTCTCTTAGTGTGTGTGTGTGTCTGTGTGTGTCTTTTAGTGTGTGTGTCTGTGTGTCTCTTAGTGTGTGTGTGTGTGTGTGTGTGTGTGTGTCTCTTAGTGTGTGTGTGTGTCTGTGTGTGTCTCTTAGTGTGTGTGTCTGTGTGTCTCTTAGTGTGTGTGTGTGTCTGTGTGTGTCTTTTAGTGTGTGTGTCTGTGTGTCTCTTAGTGTGTGTGTGTGTGTGTGTGTGTGTGTGTCTCTTAGTGTGTGTGTGTGTCTGTGTGTGTCTCTTAGTGTGTGTGTCTGTGTGTCTCTTAGTGTGTGTGTGTGTGTGTGTGTGTGTGTGATCTACACTGGACCTCTGCACACTTTCCACAAGTGCCTGGAAGTTTTTTATCTAGTGGAATGTGTTAAGAAGAGCGGCGGGTGTTGGAGCGGTGGAGCCCTTATCTGCCCGCGGAGCGTCTCTCCGACAGACGAGCGCGGCGCCGCTCTAAGAGGATTTCTATTTTGGTGTTTAATTTAATTTCTTCGCAGACAGACGGATTGTAATTTGGTGGTTTCACTATGAAAACGTGTTTGGTTCCATAATCTAAATTAGGGGATTAATCAGGAGCCACGAGGGCTGCTGCTGAGTTACTGTTTGACTCTGTGTGTGTGTGTGTGTGTGTGTGCGTGTGTGTGTCTGTGTGTGTGTGTGTGTGTGTACATACCTGTAACACTGAGAGCTAAACTGTAGTGTCACGTGTGTGTGTGCTGATAAGTTTTGTGTGGACAGATGCAAACATCACAGTGTCGAGTGTGTGTGTGTGTGTGTGTGTGTGTGTGTGTGTGTGTGTGTGTGGGTTTGTGTGTGTGTGTAATAAACAGATCCCTCCAGAGGTTGACAGCTGTCTCAGGCCGAACAGATAAACTTCATCTCACAGGTTTTAAACCAGCTGCAGCGCACAGCCAAAGAAACAAACACAAAGTGTGTGTGTGTGTGTGTGTGTGTGTGTGTGTGTGTGTGTGTGTGTGTGTGTGTGTGTGTGTGTGTACCTGTAGTGCCTGGTGTCTCTCAGGGCTCGGTTGCTGGGGATACGCTCGCTCTCCCTCTGGTTGAAGGCGTACAGCGTGTACGGGTCGTCACCGGGTTTCCACCGCCGCGCCGTCAGGTAACCCCGCTCATCAAAACCCTCCAACATGTCCTCCCACTCTGCATCTGAGATCTGTCAATCAATCAATCAATCAATCAATCAATCATCATTGATTCATGTCCTGATACTTTACTTCACATGCAAAGATATTCAGTTTATACTAATAAAAAACAGATATTTAAAGTATCAAAGCCTCAGTCCACAGAGAAATGCACACAGCCTGTATTCAGAAACTGAGCCTTAAAACCAGCCGTCAGGACTTCTGGAACTTTGTGATGTCACAACAAAGCAGTCACCAAGCCCCGCCCACCTGGACCCACCATCCAAACCTTGCAGGATTTGGTTTCTCTGAATGTTTTTACCTGAAATCTGCTGTATTTTGCTCATGTACAGAACAGCCTGCATTATATATTCTTATTGTATAAAGTATCTCTAATTTATCTTGTTTATTTTAGATTCTGTTTTTATTCTTATTTCATTTCTTAATTACATCGTTCTTTTGTGCTGCTGTGTCAAATTTGAATTTCCTCTCTGTGGGGGATCAATAAAGGTTCATCTTATCTTGTGTGTGTGTGTGTGTGTGTGTGTGTGTGTGTGTGTGTGTGTGTGTGCGTGTGTGTGTGTGTGTGTGAGGGGCTTTTATAAAAGCATGCTGAGAGCTTTTAAAGGTCATTTTACTTAAAGATGATTTAGAGCGCTTTCTAACTTCCTGTTCTCTGGTGTTTAAAGAGACGAATGTTGGACTCGGTTCTTCTTCTTCTGTTTTGTGACTAAACGCTGCGTTTTCTCTCTCTCTCTTCTGCTGATCTCTGCTTTGTTTTCCCATGACATGAAAACACACAAACACAAGAGAAGAAGAGTTGATCAGTGATTGAAACGACAGAAGCTACAAACCATCAACGTTCTTTCATCTGAAAACCTGAAGTTTTAATCCTCTGGAGCTCAGAGAGAGAAACTGGACTCACCCCAGCAGAGAGGAAGAAACCTTCAGGTGATCTTTGATTCAGAGCTGAATTTTAAATCTCGTCTCAGAATCTGATTTTTACCATCTGAAAATTAAAAGAGCGACAGAGAAACTGATGCAGGCTTTTCCATCCGGCAGACTTGACTATTGTAACATCTGCTGTCTGTTCTATTATATTTTATTCTATTTAATTATTAATTTTCCTGTTTTCGTTATTATGGCTTTTTGACTGTGTGTCATCTTTGGCTTTCTCTCTTGATTTGTTCTTTTCTTTTGAGCTCATCAGTCTTTGAGCTGCACTGACTTGTATGAAACACGATATCCAAATAAAGTTTGATTGAGTGATTGATTATAAATTAAATTAGTTGAATCCTGTGTTTTGAACGTATACATTTAATACTTTTGTTCTTATCTGGATCACAGATCGTATCTTTAATAATACAGCTCTTTCTTGTATTGTAAAGGTTTCTCTCTTCACTCTCAGATGTCAGAGTGTCCTTGAACACATCAACAGGATAGGATTTCAATAGAGTTCAATAGAAACTTCACTGTGATGGTGAAATAAAGGAAAGTAAACGATGACTGTGATGAAGTTCTGAGTCGGTCCAGTCTCAGGTCGTTGCTGGGTGACTGTGTCGGCACAGACAGGAAATGGAAATCAATATGAGTTCCCTGGGAGGTGGAAAATCAACCTCACAACTTATGGTAAAAAAGGCAGCGATAATGTAAAACAGGCAGTTTGTAGTTAACAGCCTTCAGGTGCAGAGAGGCATCGGTGTGCCGATCAGAGAACGTCCTCCTGCATGTTATTCTGCAGGAACAAGCGACGTCTCTGGGAAAATACAAAGGAAATAAAGTCAGGTGTAAAATGTTAATGTGGCTCATAAATCGTGTTGAGCTGCTGCAGAAAAACACAAGGTGAATTCAACAAAGAAAAAACAGCTACAGCTGCAGTTTCTGTCTCTGAGAGTTTAAACAGAGAGTTTATCATTTATGAGACAGTACAGACGCCTGTTAGCAGGAAGGAGCTGTGTGTGTGTGTGTGTGTGTGTGTGTGTGTGTGAATGATGGAGGGAGTGAATGTGTTTGTGTCTGTATCATTTATGAGTGTGTGTAGGTATCATTCGACAGGCTGTGTGAGAGTGTGTGTTTCAGTTGATAGAGACAGTGTGTGTGTGTGTGTGTGTGTGTGTGTGTGTGTGTGTGAGTTGCATAAGAGAGAGCGGATGTTTCATTGTGGGCGAAAGACATAAAGAATATACATTATCACTCTCTCTCTCTCTCTTTTGCCCCATCATAAACATAACTTCAGCAAAAACCCCGGAGGCCATATTTCTCCCGAACGACCACACACACACACACACGCACGCACGCACGCACGCACACACACACACACACACACACACACACACACACACACACACACACACACACACACACACACACAGGGTCAGGGCGCTGATGGTGTGTCTAACAGAACAACATTTACGGTGGAGCAGCAGTCTGGATGGAGGGATGAAGAAAAGAACGAGTGACACTCCTCCTCTTTCTTCTTCTTCTCCTCATTATTCAGCCGTACGACTTGCTGATGCGACACATTGTCTAAATGGGGCCATTAGAGTCCGACTCTGTGTGTGTGTGAGTGAGTGTGTGTGTGTGTGTGTGTGTGAGTGTGTGAGTGAGTGTGTGAGTGTGTGTGTGTGTGTGTGTGTGTGTGTGTGTGTGTGTGTGTGTGTGTGTGTTGCTGGTTCTGCTGGTGTCTGTGACAGCAAAGCATGAAGAACAAGAAGGAGGGAGAAATGGAGGGAAAGATGACAAAGGAAAGAGGAGTGAGGGAGAAGGAAAGGAAGGGATGAAAAGGGGAGGGAAGTGAAGGAGGGATGGGTGTGAGGACGAGAGGAAAAAGAAAGAAAAGGGAGAGAGAGGAGGGATGAGAGAAGATAGAGGAATGGAGGGATAAAAAGAGACAAGAGAGGAGGGAGAAAGAAAGAGGAAGAGAGTCGTGAAGAAAAGGGAAAAAAGAGGGAGAAAAGAGGGAGGAAGACAAGAAAAGAGATGGGGAGGAGAGAAAAGGAGCTGGAGGGGTAAAGTGGAGAGAGAGAGGGAGGAAAGGAGGGATGGAGGGAAAATGAAGTGAGAGGGTAAGAGAGGAGGAAATAAAGACAGAGAGAGAACAACAGGAGAATAATGGGAGAAGAAAAGGAGGGATAAACAAGAGAGAGGGAGAGGAGACTGAGAGGAGCTCTCTCTCTCTCTCTCTCTCTCTCTCTCTCTCTCTCGGGTTACAGGTAGAGAAGGAGGAAGAGGAGGAGGAAGATGAAGGGCGGGAAGGAGAGAAGAAGGGAGGAGAGGTGAAGGAGAAAGTGAGGAGATATAAACTTCAGAAGACTAACGGAGGGAAAGAAAGAATTAAAGTGAAGAGGAAGAGATGAGAAAAGAGAAAGAAGAACGGAGGAGAGAGGAGAGACTTGAGGAGGAGGAAGGAAAAAGGAGGGAGGAAAGAGGAGAGGATGTAAGACTTTTACAGAGGAGAAGAAGACGTGATAAAATGATGAAGAAGAATAAGTGGGAGAGAAAGACGTAGAGGAGAGGAAACGAGGAGAGGAAACAAGGAGAGGAGACAAAAAGAGAGAAGAAACAAGACAAGGACAGGCTGCGATTAAGCTTGTCTGAGTTTCACACACACACACACACACACACACACA